GAAGAGGTTTGGATAGATTGCCTTTTGGTTGTCCCAGTATCTCATAGGATCCTGGGACCTGGCAATACCTTATTTTCCGATATGAGATCAAAATGGTCCCACACGGCGGAAACCTTTCTTTTGGCTTGAGGCTGTTCCATAATTCTTGATGAATGTGACGATGAACCGCAATAGATCAGAGATTCGTTTTGGCAGATGCATCCTTTTGACATATGAGCTTCCTTATAAACACAGTTTGGCGCAGCAGTGTCGGTTCGAAACAGTTCCTGTATCGGTCACGTGACTTTCTTAAAGCATACGCGCACCGACACGGGGTTTTGCTCTACGAGCTCGACGCATGTGGCAACGCATCGGTGTTGCCGGACCCATCACTAATGTTTACACATGACTTCACAGTTTGACCCAACCAATCCACTAAAAGCTTCAGATAAATGGATGATGTCTGTGCTCGTGCACATGCACACGCAGACAGAGACAAGAAGACCTTCAGCCAACCACTAAATGAGCAGTTGTTCTTGAACTGTTTAAAAAGATTGCTTGTTCAAAATGATGTGTGAGTCATGACGGATCCTGGAGGATGGTCATGGTTTGTATTGACATTCTAGGAAATGTACCCCTGTCAAAGATATTGGAGTCACTTATTTATTGCACAGATAAAAGCTTTAGGTGACCTTTAATTTACGCTGTGTGCAGGGAATCTCTGAAATGATCGAATGACCTTTTGTTTCACATTATCTTCCATCCTCCCTAAGCTGCACATATGCCAAATACAGCTGTTAAGACAGTCCAGGGTTTTGTCAAAAACTGCACCTTGTAGGAGTGCTTTACAGTTATTATTCTGACAAATGCTTTATTAGTATAATAAACCCCCCCCCCCCCCCCCCCGCCCCCGGAACGCGTCCCTCTCTGTCCCACTGAAATCTGAGGAGGAGTTGAATTCAGATGCATTATTCCATTTAGTGATTAATAAAAGAAGAGAAACTGGTGTTCATGTGTGCTCCCCCCTCCTTGTCTCTCTCTTTCAGTGGGATGTTTTTTGATGGCAATCACACCTACATGATTGAACCTGGAAGACAGAGCAGCAGCGATGTAAGTACCCTACAAATCTCCATGAAAGTATATGTATTTTGCAAGAGCTGGTGATGGCTCTTCTAAAGGGGATTTATCTGTTTGCATTCCAGGTGCCTCTCAGTCCTGTTGAATTGTTAGTGGTCATATAATCCATTACAGCAGTGGTTTAAGTGAGTGCGGCTGATGATGTGTGAGAATTAGGGGTGTAAAGATCGGAAAATCGATCAGAAAATTGATACAAGAGCCATGTCTCTATGGGTGCATAGGTTGAAAACCACAAATTGGAGCCAAATGAGTTTTAAAAATGACAATAACAAGTTAGCAGGATTTAAGTGAAAAATGCATTCCAACTTTGTATGATAACGTGAAGCAGCAGCTGAAGGTTTACTCTTCACCAGTGCCCGTTATTTACATCTATTTGGCTTTTGCTGCTTGAAATACAAAACTTCTTTTAGGAAACACTAACCCTTTTTAATTGTATACCCTAAACAGATATTTTAATATATGTATCGGTCTTTCACATAAAAGCTAAATTAAAATTGAATATCTACTGAATCGAATCAATCACTCTGAACAGTACTGTATCGTATTGTTACAAATTTTCATTTTTGTATCTAATCGTGGACCATCTATCAAGATATGTATTAAATCTTGTGAGAGGGAGAGATGCACACCCTTAGTGAGAATAATTATTCCTTGTATTACAGGATTCATGCATGGGTCAGTTTTTGTCCTGAGAGAAGATTAGTCCTTGAGATGAGATCAGTGGCAGTGGTCTTAACGTTTCCTAATGAACCTAGGTCTCAGAAAAGAGACAGAGATACTAGTTACAAAGCTTGCAGAGCTAATTAGATCATAACAATTAGAGGCATTGTGGTTGGAATGAAGGGACAGATCTGAGATTGTCTGAGGACACCATAAGCATGTGAGAACAGCCACTTGATACTCTGTGTGAGAGAGAAACTTCTTCCTGCTCTAATTAAATGTCCAGACAAAGCATGTGCCTGAAGTTAATCAGTAAGAGATGAAAGGAGACAAAGATAAGAGATGTCAGAGACCTGTGTATTTGTTTGTGCCCATATGAATGTGTGTTTTCTTGTGTGGATAAGTGTATGTGCACCCATAGGCATTGGTATGGCGGCCTGGCACATAGAACTACTAAGATTCACATCTGTATGACTGTTTTAGAGCTAATGGTGTTTAAAGAGCAGGTAGGAGAGAAAATGAAGTGGATGGATGTAAAGAGCAAATGTAGCTAATAAAAGGAATCTTACTAGGGAAAAAAGGAGGCAGGTCCACAGACGGAGGACGAGCAAAAAAACCCAAACCACTGGTAAAAATGTGAGTAGATTGCTTGTAACTGTATCTTCTGCAGAGAAACCAAACAAAAGGGGAGCTAATTGGTTTGTAATGGGAATTGCTATATCGAAGTCATGCAGTAATGAAAAGAAGAGGAAATTTGATGTTGATGCAAGCAACAGAGCATTCTGAAAATGAAAAATTGAGAAAATAAGCAAAGACAGAGAATAAGTGATGATAATGCTTCATCATCTGTGATGGTTCTCCCTTCCACTTCTTCTTTACCCCTTCCTTTTCTGGCTTCTTCTCTGTCTCTCCTCTCCCTCCGTCATTCCTCTCCGACATTTTTCAGGAGGAATTGAATTAGTCAATGGATGAAAGAGAGAGAGAGATCAATTCAGAATATTCCCGCAGCACTCCTTGTCAGAGTATAACAGTAACTTTTTTGGCCATTCACACAGACAATGATGTAAAAATTGAAAGATTCTTTACTAGTTTTATTGTTGCATGTCAAGTAAATGATCCAAGTATTTCTTTCACTGCTGCACTGTGGTGGTTGTTTTGGCTTGTTAGGTAGGGGAGTCCTATCTGCATGATAATGCCAGGGACAGCTCTGCCCTTGAGCCCTGCAGAGGCTGTCTGTTGTCAGTGCTGAGCTCTGGATGTCTGCTTCCCATAGGCAATAGTCCACACTGGTTGATTCTACCTCTCCATCTCTGGGTTTCTTTCTGTGTATATCAGTCTCCATTTCACTCAGTCTGTGTATCTTTTTGGCAGTCTACTTGGTCTTCAAGTTGTCTCATTTCTGTTGGACAGATGCATGTCATATAGATGGACAGATGTCTGCTGCAACAATCTAAGTGTTCTCCATGTATCCTGTATTTCAACACTCAAACTTGGAGAAAGAAAATGTTGCTGGCTCTTAGTTTTAAAAGGTCGCATGCTCAGTCATGTTCTCGTTACACTGTGACAGCCACATTATCACTCTTTATCGGTCAGTAACTCCATTGACAGCAGAGGCTTTGTGCCCTGTGATACACCAGGCTGTTATTATCTGGTTGAAAGTGATGGAAAAAGCATGGTCGGATGTACAGCAGGGTGCGTTGAGATTAAGAGTCGGCATGGCTTCTGTCAGCCATATGGTAAATCCATCTGGTCATCTTCTGCCAAGTCAGAAAAAGTTATGCAGGACATTAGTGAAGTGTGTCCTGAACAAGCTGCTCTTCTTTGGCTGAACAGGTTTTAAAGCATCTTATTGTGTTATTTAAATAGGCTTGTGTACAATAGATGACAGTAGTGAGCAATACAGAGTGCCAAATTGAAGTTCATAAACAGGACATGATGTTCCCGGGTGCTATGTGGCTGATAAATCTTGCACTTCAAGTCTTTGTGAGTGTGTGCACACAGACAGCTTTGAGGGAATGTGTGATGCTAGCTTGCATATGCAGAAAACACCATATGTCAAGCCCTTGTGTTATTTGGACACCTATCCAACAGCGCCTGTACCTCAGAGCCCCTGCAGCTACATCTCAACAGCTCTTTCTGTTTGCTTTGAGTGAGGACTGAAAACATTGTGCTGTGCTTTGTTGATGATGCAGTGACCAGGGGTTCATCCATTTTTTTAAAAGCACAATCAAAGACGAACCTGTAGTAGGCTACTATAGCATTTTGTGTTGTTATAAATGGTGTCAGAATGCATAAACAATGATTCAATAAATTGATTAGTGGATTGACAGAACATTATTCACCTATTTCGATCACTGATTAATTGCTGAAGTCATTTATCAAGCAATATGACAAAGAATCTGTAGCCATGCTAGCAGCTCTTGGGTACAGCAAGCTAAATGCTAATATCAGCCTCCTTGACAGGCTTGCACTAACAATGCTAACCTGCTGATGTTACCACATTCACCATTTTAGTTTAGGATTTTACACTGTCTGCATCTTGGACTTGTATAAAATATTCCCACACGTCCCATCTTGTGATGCCCATAGTGTTATTGGGTTTTATTGCTGCAGTTCCTGTGTAATGATGTGAGCTGCAGGCACAACAAGAAGAGAGGTTGAGAAAAACTGTTCTCATTTACTGGGGGAGTGGAGTTGAAGGCTGAAGAGAGTATGTGTTGATAGGGGTAGTGGCTGGTTGTAGAGTGGGGGGTGTTTGTATTAGGTGCCAGGAGGAGGTTGTTTTTTTTTATAATAGCACAAGATGGGAATGGATTTTCAAAAAGAGGGGTTTCTCTGAGGCCCCAAGGCGTCTTCATGTTACTAAACCTGTACTAGTTCGTTCACACATAAAGAAAGCGCGTGAGAGTGGAAAAACTTGTTACGCTTCCCTGCTTTATATTCATGAGCCAGCAGTCTGTGTCTGAGGTAACATCTCCCTTGGCAACCCAGGCTCCGCCCCCATCCCTTTGTAGCACGCCATATGAAAGCCATCTGTGTTTAAACCCTTAATCTCCATCACTACACACACCCTGCAGTGTCTCTATATTGTGTGTATTTTTAAACTGTAGTGATCAAAACCGCTTTATTATAAGTTAATTCAGCAGTAAATGCTCCAATAAGGGAGTGTGCAGGCCTACATATGGCAAATAATACAGGAGCTGCTATGTCATATACTTCTCTTGATTATTGTCTTAATAATCAATAGCCACTAAATATGAAAGTGCCACATGGAAAAAGGAATTGGTTCCAATTATGAAGAGCTGCAGTTAGATTGGTGGCTCTGTCCGTTGCTGGACTACATAAAAGATAAGACAAAACACTAGAGCCTTAAAAGCTGTGTTTTAATAGCGTGTTCACTCTTCTTAATTGCCTCTGGTTTTTCTCTAGAGCCTGTGTTAAAATAAGTTGAAAATTTATCGAGAGGACCAATCATCGTCTAGGGCTAATATCAGTGAGTTAATATTCTCAAAGCTGCTTTTAAAGTGCTCTGTAGTGACCAAGTTCAACATTTCAGCACATTTCAACTATAAGGGTGCTCCTAAGCCTAACAGTGGCAAAACAGTATTATTATTCCTTTTGCCAATGTCAAATATGCAACATAAGTAACCTATTACTTGTTTAAATCACTGACCTATTCCACTTTGTAGCTTCAGCTACTCATTCACGTGGACTTACAGATTTTCTTTATTTATTATAATCAATTGAATATATTTGGATTTTGTGTTATACAAAACAAGCTTTCTGAAGACTCCACTTTGGGCTTTGATATTTGAATTGTGGTGGCCATTTTCACTCATTTTTGACATTTTATAATCTATACAGGTAATTGATTACACAAACAAGTCTTTACTTTTGCATTAGATTTTGGTACGACCTGGTAAATTCGTGGGTGTGCATAGCTGTCGGTCTCTAAGGGTCAGCCGTGATAGACTGGTGACCTGTCCAGTGTGTGCCCTGCCTCTCACCCTATGTCAGCTGAGATTGGCTCCAGCCCCCTGCAACCCTCTTCAGGATAAGCGGTATAGATGATGGATGGATGTGGTAAATGAATTTTTGTTCAGGTTTAAATGATAATTATGTCAGTTTAGTGTTGCTGCTAGAGATTGAGAGGTGGTGGCTGTTCGCTGTGCCAGACTTCCTTGGAACAGTAACTGCTAGCCACTGATGGAGAACATTAATTAAAACACATTACAGGTCCACATTTCAGCAACTTGGTTAACTAGGTAAGGCTAACAGATGTACAAATTAGAGGAAGAATTAATTTTTATATTTGTTATGAAGTGAGAATGAAGCTGCTGACATGCAGTCATGTCATTTAGTATTTAACACTTAACGCCATAGAAGGCTAAAAACATGCCAGGTTGTCATTGATATGATGTTAGCAAACAGCTACAGTTAATAAAACTGATAATGGGTGTGTCAGATTTACAGTAGTGTGCATATGGTCATGCGTTGACAATAGTTAATAGTATTCATGTCAAAGAGTCACTGGAAGGCCTCCAAACCTAATTTTGCTTAGGGCCCCATAAAAACTTGGGCCAGCCCTGCATGCAGTTGTGTCGTTTTGAAAATGTGAAGTAGGCGGCATGCTGTATAACAGTATGCAGAGGGAGTAGGTGAGAACCTGTACAACGTGAGACAACCTGTATGAATTTTGTATTAATATTCACTGTAAGTCACCCAAAGGCACAGTCTGTGATGTAAATGTTAAACAAAACAAAATCATACTTGGTGGTGTAAATGTAGCCTTGGTCATATCCACAGCTTTAATAGCCCCCAATTATGAATTATAGAAAGAACTGTAACATGATAAGTTTTTGGAAAACTAGAACCTTGCAGACAATCAGTTTATCCATTACACTGGAAATGCTGGACATAAACAGCTGAAACCATCACTGGAGCAGATAAAAATGGGCTCTCTCTCCCAGTATGTCATTCAGTCTGCCTGAAATGTTTCCCGGTTTCGCCTCCTGTTTTTGCCAGCTGGGAGAGATGGACAAATTACTCAGATGAATACTTTGAATCTAAATAAGACTGGTTGTGTGCTGGTTTGTGTTGCAGTTACAAATGTTGAGTACTTTATATCAGTTAGTGAATTGGCTTTTGTCACTGTTCCCCCAGCACGTAGATACATTATGATGGATATTTTAATAAAAATAAAAAGGTGACAGTGTAGAAAGCATGTGGCGATATCACTGACATGAACAATGTAGAATAACATGATGGAGACAATAGAATTTGAAGGAATGTTGATCATGTTCATTAAGCAAAACATACAAAAAGGCAAGATTTCATTTACATTGAGCTTTAGGAAGTAGATCTATTACATTAAACCAAGCGCTCCCTTTCCTTGCTACGCTGTGCTAACCAGTAACAGGAATGCATTACATCACATCGTGACCTGGTGACAGAAGAGAAATCCAATGTGTAAAGATGACAACAATCATCAGAGGCATACAGTGTGCAATTCTAAATGTCAAAATTCATATTTTACCCAGAATTGTGCAGCCCTAGGTCATATGTATATTTAAACAAAATTTGCAAAAAAAAGGCAATGTAAACTGGCACAGTATTCACATTATTAGTGCATTTAAAACAATCACAGGGTACTGTGACATCAACAATTCACGTCATAAAACAAGCACAAAATATATAAACAGGTGAGTCAGTTAGTAGTTGTCTATTTAGAAAGACAGAACTAAAAGTTAATGACAGTCAGTAGTGATAAGACCTTCATAAACTGCAGACATAACAGTGATAAATCAATTGAATAGTGTGTGTCCACTATACAAATTGAAAAGAAAAATGTAGTTGGAATGTATATTAACCTACCTAATGCTAGTAACTTGTAGTCTGCTTGTAGCTAGTAAAGTTGGTCCATTTCCCAGAAGCTTTGTGTTGTTGATTGCCCCTACTCTGCTTGTAAAATAGTGAAAAAACAGTTGCTTGAGGTGTCAAAGTACTTTTGGTTGCAAATGAAAATATATTTTCAGCTTCCATTGCTACAATACTAAGCTGAATACTGCGTTTGCACTGGTGCTTTAATAATCTTCATTTTAAAGAAAATGTCATTCTTCTTATAGCACCTCCCAGGGTCTGTGAACTAGGTCTCAGCTTCAGTGATCGGTAAATTACAGACCTAGACTGGCTGACTGAATTCTTGAAGCTGTCACTGTAGAGGTTCTAAATAGCTCTCATGTTATTAACCTTCATCTATCATTCTCTATTACTTTTATCAGTGGTGAAATTCATGGAAGTATGAGGACAGAAGCCTTTAGAGTGCTCAGGTTATTTGCCTCTCTTCTGTTACTCTTCCTGTGTTAGCACAGGGATGTCGATCTCTATAGCAGACATCCGTGAGCGGGTGGAGTAGCGGCGTCCTGTGTAGCTGGATCTGTAGCCTTGAGAAGGAGCATAGCTTTGTGAGGGTGCATAACTCTGCGAGGGTGCGTAGCTCTGAGAAGGAGCGTAGCTGTAGGCCTGGGTCACTCCTACCTCTGATCCATACCCCTCTGGAGCAGGAATCTGAGACATGTAAACCTGGTGTGTTGCAGGGGTGGCCACACTTTGTGCATAACCCTGGGAGGCCACATAAGGCTGAGTGTTGATCACTGTGGGAGGATAGGTCTGTGGTTGGAATGACTGAGGACCGTAGACTGGGGAGGGAGGATATCCGTTGGCAGTGAGAGGCTGGGTGGACAGAGAGGGTGACATGGAAGGCAGGGGCAACCAGAAAGGTGAAGGCAACCTCTTACACATGCAGTACCACAAGAACATCATTAGCGCGGCCAGCATCAGTCCTCCAGAGCAGCCTATTGCTATATATACAGCAAACCCATCAGAGAAAATGTTGTCATATGTGATGTTCATCTCCTTGGTACGGAACAAGAACCACACTGAGGGTGCGATGGCGATAGCTCCACCCAAAAACAAAAACATCCCGGCCACCAGGTGACAGCCTGCACTGTTGACCAGGAATCTGATAGTTTTAATGTCTGGCTCAGGCTTATCTGAGCAGCAGCAGGTCTTACACATCCCAGCCATGCACAGCAGTAAAGCTAGTGAGCCGAACATCAGGCATGCAGGCAGACAGAACTGCAGCAGCCGTAGATCTAGCTGGTCCACTTTAGAGTACCACTGGAACCATAAGAAAAAAAGGATGCCAATTAGAACAGTTGAGGATGTAAAAGAAAAAAGGAAGAGAACAGCAAATTTCTCAAAGTAATACCTCTGAATCATAGTAGTAGCATCCGGAATAGCCATCCTGTTTCACACATTTAGCCCACAGCCCATCATACACACTGACATTCTTGGCGTTGCGATTGAAGGTGACGAGTCTCGTTATACGCCACTGTGGGATTAATCCTGCCACAGTAATTCCTCCCACAGACACAAAGGCAATGATGAAGGCAAATGCATTGGTGGCATGGATGTCCCGGCACGTCATGGTTGTTTGGTGCAGGTAGGAACAAAGGCCACAAGGAGAGTTCCTATTTGAACGGATGAAATGAAGAAGTCAGACAGAAGTGGCTAGTGTCGTAGGAATCAATGATGCCATAATAATTTAAACAGCACATTATATCTGTATATCAAAGTCTTGATCTTAGGGAAAACCATGATTAGTTTATCTGAATGGCCTCATTACTACTGATGTAAGCTAACTGGGCCACTGACCTAGCTACAGCCAATGCCCCATATTTTTATTCATCACGGTGTAGTTGACCCAGTATCTGCTGTCCCCAAGAAACAATGGTCTTGTTTCATTAGCAAACAAAGTCAGAATGACTTGATGGTTGAGGCTTGTGGACCCACAAGTGTCCATACTGTAGTACGTTACATAAACTGTTCCATTACACAACAAGCTATTGAATTAGACACTTCGAGTTTTCTTTATGTGACAGCATGCAACAATGACTGACCACGGCTGTGCGGAAGCGTCATCTTGAGAAACACATACATGTTTTTACATCATCAAATTTGGATGGCTGCATTTTTTTGTAGTCTGAGTAAAGCCACAAAAAAAAAAATCGTACGCCTTCAGCTGGTACAAAACACGGCCTCTTGTTTTATAGCCAGTTCAAACAGACAAGTTCATATCAACCTTCTTCTGGCTGTTATCAATCAGTTTGGTAACCCACCCCCCATTTTATTTGTCCAGTTGTAATAGTCTGACCGTTTGTTTATTTCACTCCTCTTTATTGTTGAGTGTATGTCCCTTTTAACTTTAACTTAATTTAACTGTATTCCTTGAAAGTTGTCATCTTGGTGTTACCAGCATAACACACCTTGTTGTTATTGTTAGTAATATTTTCTTTTATAAAGACATAGTTAAGGGCCTAAAACCCAATAAGAGGTTAATGACGACGGAATCATTCTAATGAAACGGTCTGAAACTACACTAAGACGATAACATCATTATACAAACATCTGATACTTTATATGTAATTAACGTTACACTATAACTGAGTAATGACAGGCCAGTTATGCTAAGTTAGTTAGCTAATGAGCAGATTCCCCAGCTAACGTTACAGCTGTGTTAGGTCGTTACTGGAAAAGACCAATAATTTCATTAATAGCAGCATATATCTACAAGTGTGTTAACTAAAATAAATCGCCTGAATGTGAATATAATAAGTATTGTGCGGTGCGAACGGACGGACTAACATTCAACACCAGATCGGTAGCATTAGCCAGCTAGCTGATGGCTAAAACGTTAGCATGGTATCAACCTATTGCGTCCCGAATGTGAAGCCCAACACAAAAACTACGTTTATCATACATTACAGTACCTTATATTTCCAGCACCAGCACTTCAGCTGTTTACAGCGAAGGCGGTTGCATTTCAGCTTCCTTCTTCTTTACACACTTGAACCTTTATAGCAAAGCCTTTTCACACAACAGTAGAAACACAGCGAAAACAAGATGTGGCCTCAGAGCATGATGGTGTTTCCACCCCTCAGCGCTGCCTCGCAGGGGGTTAACCCTTTCGTGGTGTTTTAGAATTTTTCCTAAAAATCGTTTATATAGGCTACATAACAGGGATGATAAAATTATATACTAGGCACAGTCAAAGTAGATGTAATAGGCTAATGAACCAACCAAAAGTTGCACTAGAGAATAAATAAAACGTCTAATAATTCAAATATTTAAAAAAAAGTAAAATAGGTCCTTGAACCGTTATTTTCAAAACATTGATTGCTGATGTCTTACAGCATTTGGGTAAAGTCCCAGCAAAATTTTTATTAGACTAAATGACTGTCCAAACCCTCTTTAACATTAGCTTTCATAGTAATGTGAGTAATTTTGGTCAGACATTTACTCCTTTTTTTTCCATATGCTGTTTGTCTACTTGCCTGGTGATTTTTTTTTAAGTGCTCCTAATCAGATTTTTTTTTAAATCTGTTTGACAGATGAAAATACAGCTTTGAAGGAGACTGTGCATGCAATATTAACAAAACAGACTGATCAAACAAGAGGTATAAATATACAGTATATTTTTTCACATTTTTTAACTCAAGTGATCTTGAACACAGCTGCTTGACATCCAGACCTTAAAATAAAACCAAGTCACACAATTTTCTGAATAAAAGCAAAGAAATGGCAAAAGCTGCATGCTTTTTGGCAGTTTGGACTCTTTGACCTCCATAAATAAGTGGGTGAAGC